GTTAATATGTTAAATTTTTTCCCTAAATGAATGTTTTTAACTATTCTTCCATCAAGCATTTTTGTGTTATTGCGCACCTTTCATACTTTCCATACATTTAATGAACAGACCATTGAGGGGAACAGAACCTTCTGTTATTTCTCAGCTGTGTTTTGTTTATGACGCATTTTGTCTGCTTCACTTCCTCCTGTCAGAGTCCGGTCACTCAGAATCTGATCTCTCGGTCATCCATGGTCACCAAACCCATATTACACAGTGGCAGAGCGTGAAAGGTCCACTGAGGCTGGCTGTCTCAGGTTGTTCTCTAGTGGAAGGCATAGGGCCTTGAACTCAACAGATTTTTGTGTTTATGATGCATGGATGGACTTTTAAAATGTATGTATCTGCATGTATTAGGAAATAATTTATGTAAGCAGTCGCCACTGCATACAGAGATTAGTTTTATTGTTTTATCCTTACCAGGAAACATACTTATAGCACAGATGCGTTGAGTTTTATATCCCTAGTGGAGCTAAATGTTGCTACCTTCTGCTCTAAATCAGAGCACTTTTTCATTTTGAATATATTTATTTTTTAACAGGAGTGAGTTGTCTATTTGTTAGAAGATTATTGTATTTGAACATGTTATTGGCATCGGGGGTGGCCTTGTTTTTCAAGGTTTAAGAGCGTTTTGTTAGATTTTGTCTGCAAGTTTTGCTCTAGATCTTAACCAAACCTCTGCATCACAACAAAAAGCAAACAAAGGCCAAATGGGCGTCTTTAACTTTTTACATTCTTTGAAAAGCTTGACTTCAACTATGTTTTACATACAGTGATACACAACTTATTCTTTGTGTTTTATTATTATTCTTTGTTTTTTACTATGTTGTTTTATAATAATTCTGTTTTTTTATCTAACATGAGTTTCTGTTTTTCCTTGATGTGATTCTTACTCTATGAACCTTTTGAAATATTTAAAGCGTCAATATTTTGTTTCACTCACATATAGATATTGCTAATAAAGGTCTTTACAATATATTTGTTTCATTATCTGTCTGAAATAGTTACCTTTAGCTAACAGTGTTTTGGATTTTAAATAACTGATTGAAGATTGTGGTTACTAGGCCTCACATTGCTGCTTTAATACTTTCAGCTTGGATAATTGGCTAAGCAGCTGTGCATATGACTCTTTTAGTGCCAGCAAGGAATGACCATCATACAGGTAAATAGCAGATGGTTAGCCATACTTGAGGGGAATATAGTTTTTTTTTTTTTTTATGTAGATATTCTCCAATTAAACTGCAGGCCATTGCCTTCACTGCTGCAGCTTGTTTCTGGGTTTTTTGGTTCCTTCTTCACTGTCTACTTTTAAATTCTTTTTGAAGACTCATATTTTCCCCCCTGCCGTTCAACACAGCACAGTTATTTGTTCTTTAGTGTGAGCTTTTGTGCATCATGTTGTTGTGTGCCTTTTTTTATTTTAATATTTCATTCTCTTATTTTACAGCACTGTGGTTCAACCATTTGTCTTTAAACGTGCTAATAAAACATATTGGATAGGTAGAACACTAACCAAACCAATTTGGTCCTATGAATGAGAATATTGCCCTACGGGGGCGAGGGGGATGTTTGTGACCATAGCAAAAATAGGTAGACAGAAGATATGAAAGTTACAAACTAGATGAAATTATAAAAAAGAAAATAAATTAAAACTTGAACGCTTCAGATGAGGAGAAAAACTAATCCAAAAAAAAGAGCCAAATTACTTAAGTAGAACTTTTCAGCGGAGATGCTTCACAGAGGCTACTGTAATTGCAACCAAAATTACTCCAGCAGCTCATTGATGAATCGTCCAGAAGGGAAAAACAAGAACCCACAGTAACATCAGAGGCTCTACAGGTATTAGTTGCCTCCATTAATTTTGAGAGGTAATAATTCAACAATATGAAAGAGACTGGGAGAAAATTGGCAGCTGCTGACACAAAAGAACAAGACGACATGTAGTATCTCACATTTATCAATGACATCTTGATAATCCACAAGACTTACAGAAATATGGCTACAATTTGTGAACTGTATGCTGCTGGACCTAAAGACAGCAAACATTTCAGAGAAAGAAGTCTTCCCACTGAAGGGGAAACATGGTGGTTGGCGTGTGATGGTCTGGGCCTGCTTTGTTGATTTAAGACAGAGTTTCTTAACTCCAGTCCTGCATATTTTACCTGTGTCTTTGCTTAAACACAACTGAATCAAATAATCAGGTCATTAACAGGACTCTAAGGAACATAAATGCATCATGGGAAGGTAGTTAAGCTGTTTATTTAAGGTGTGTTAAAGCATAAACCAAAGGCGGATGACACCAGACCACAACTCACCACCCCTACTTGACATTTTTGGATGAGTCACCAAAATGAAGGGAATCATGATTTCTGCTCCCTAATAAAAAGCTTAAAGGAGAAAGTATGACCTTCGTTTTTTGACCCTAAGCTAAAACACGTCTCAGTTACGCAGAAACAAATTATCCAGGCAAATTTCAGAATGACCTGGTCAAGACTCATTCTCATGCTGTGACCTTAAGGCTGCTCGTTATGCTGCAGAATATGTGTGTGGTTAAATTTAAATGTTGCTGCAAAGACGAATGGGCAAACCTCCTTCACTGCCATTTAGACGATTCAAATCAAGCTCAGTAAAACATTTCAGTTGTCATAAGAGTGGCACAAAGAGTTAAGCCCTGAACACACTGAATGCGATTTTGTGCCTGGTCTGACAGAAATTCATGTCAGACAAGGTCATGGCGTTTAGTGCTCATTGACAGACACAATGTTTTGCAAGCGGGCTCACATAGCTCCGACTGAGATAGACTCCAGGTCTATTTTAGTCAGACATGAAGAGAGAAGCGGTTAAATAAAACACATCCACTTGGGGGGAAAATACGAAATAAAATCTGTTCATTGCATGGGGAAAGTGTCAGTTTTTGAGTCACACATCGCGTATACAGTAGACAGTAGTCAGACTCGTTCAAAAACAATCAATGAAACATGAAAAAATAGAATACTTCACCCATGATAGGAGTTCAGGAGGATGTTCAGGAGAAAACGGATAAATTAGTAATCCTCTTTGAGCTTTGCAAAAAAAAAAAAAAAAAAAAAAAAAACAGATGAGAAGACACCAGTGCAGGTGAACAAAGCGCATCTCTCTCCCCTCTATGATAAATAAGAAAACCTCAGGTAAACTTCACCGATCTCTTTCTGTGAAAATCACCTCTCCCTACCTCAGTCAGCATAAAAACCGCCCCGCAATGTTTATCGCTGGGTCTTTTTTATGTTTAGATGTTGATATCATTATTTTTTTTTTATCATAGGCATATAAACATTCTCTATCTGTTCCGATTTGAGATGCTGCACAGACTCGTTAAGTAGGGCATTGCTTTATAGAATGTGCCAATATTTTATTTATTTATTTACTTTTAATAACTTTAAGTAGTCTGTCTAATTCATATGTGGGAAATTGTTTTATTTGTGTGGTACAGAGACACAAGTGAAAAAAAATCAGCACAGATCAGCCCACCCTGCCTAGTTGGAGCCTTTCTATACGCAGTCAGTGTGACGCACACAAAATTGTATAAGAGATTAAAAAGTCGTACGCAACCAGCGCGTTCAGGTCTTTAGAGTAACATTGCAGTTACCTTGTTACGTAGGGCTGGGTGGGTTTATATAACTTTTTAACCTCACATGGATTCATCATATTAAAACAGCAGGTTTTAAGCGTGTTTTTTTTTTATTACATAAATTTGTTACAAAATCTATAACTAAATAATTTTCAGCTGCATTTCCAGTCAGAAGTTAGTGTACATCCACTGATAACAAGGCTGACAGTCACATTCATTTTGTGCTCTCACCAATTTTTGTTGTTGTTTTCCAGTTTGGGACGATGCAGAACAAACACTTGAAATGAAATCGGAAAAAAAAAAACAGCGGATTCGACGTTTATTTTATTTATTTATTTTTTCTTCCTGATTTTTCTGTTAAATCATCTGAATATGTCTAAGCCTAAACATTTCAAATAAAATATTACCATCAGATGAAAAAAATATTCATATGGACAGTATAACTACTGTACCCCAAAAATAGCAATACCCAAGCCTTCCACAAACTGCAAACACTAATACTCCAGATCCAAATTATCATGTTGACTCTTTACTAAATATAACATTGCTTCAAACGTTTCTGGATTTGTTTGTATAATTTTCACCCATTCTTAATCCAGTAGCTGTACACAGAGTAATGCAACTTGTTTTTGTTTTTTTAATATTGCTATTGCAATTATTTGTTGCATAATCATTCTGCCTTACAAAATGAATGGTTCAAATTAAATCCTTAAAAGATCCAAAAGAAGGATATACATGGCCATGATGAAAAGATATAAACCTCTCATAGAAATTGTATGTACATATTTATGTAACCTCCTTTCTCATCACAGCTGAATTACATGCTCTTTATTTTTCTTCTAAGAACTCCAAGTATACACTTAGTGCAGAAAATATGTCCTTGAATGCTCCCTTTAATATTAATGGGCTTCAGAAAGCATTAACCCTGAAGCAGTTTTGTTGTTACTCATGTCCAACAGTTTGGACAAAGATATTTTAAGGAAAGTTGTTTCAATTTTGCTTTTTTTAAGGTAAAACTGAATGTGAAGGATGCTAATGTGGTTTTCGATGTGAGCATAATCTGTGGTGAAAAAGTATGCAGAATTCGTTCCCCCATTTGGCTTTGACTGGTTTTAGCCATTTCCTGATTCAATTTGATAATAGCTCTGGATCTGTTCTTGATTACTTGTTCTTTTCCACACACATTTTTATATTTTGTGTGTTATGCAGTTTTAATGATCCCTGTTTTACAGACTGTTAAGTAGAATTATCTTACCCTCCTGTTGTAGTTGTATTCCACCCTTCCTTCTGTTTATATGTTGTTGTTTTTTCGTGGTAAACCTGAAAAATGTCTGCTTTCTTTGTTTTTTCCTAGATTGTCATCCCTCTTGCCAGCGCTGTACTGGTCTATCTGCAGAAAACTGCTCGTCCTGTTCCTTCCCATTTAGCCTGTTTGAGGGTCAGTGTGTTTCCACATGCCCACAGGGCTTCTTCAGCCGGTACAACCAATGCCAAGGTGAGAAACACATAATTGTGCCTTTGTACTCAATTCTGTAGCATTGCTGTCCCAAGGCTTCAATTATAACCTCAGCTTTAAACTTTAAGCTCTGACACAGCTTTCTGAAAAGGTAAGCACTCCACAGATGTCCACTTTAGTTAAAGATGTCCTTGTTTTCCAATGGTTGGAAGCTTTTTTAGTAATCGGGAACAGGTTTACTTTAAAACTGGACTTTTCTCTGTTGTCAGTGATGGAGAAACTGTTTTAAATTATTTGTTGCGAAGTGAGAATTGTCTTGAAAAATTTGAGTGCAAATTGATTGCAATTTCATATTTTTAATTGCAATTTCATGTTTGAGAGCTTTGAAAAATTTGAGATTTTAAAGTGTTTTTTTTTTTATCAGTTTTAGATTTATCAGGGTGTTAAGTTCTGGCAAACGGTGGGTTTAGATTTCTGTTTTGTTCATTTTCTCTTGTGAGCTAAAACAAAAACTCTGTTTTATGAAAAAAAAGAAGATGAAGAGTGTGTGGGTGCAGTACAAATGTTTATAATCCTCTGCAACATGTCACCAATTTTTATGACCACGGGTTCTCAGCAGGCTTCAGATTCATGGAGTTTCTACTCCACCGGTCAAAGCTCTATTGTTCTGATAATTTTTCAGAACTACAAATAAACATTAAGGATTCACACGTATTTACACGCGAATCGGATCTGGATGTTCGCTGCAGACTATCCACAGAATTCACAGTGGAGGTCAAATTTCTTAGCACTAATGTCGTTAGTGCTAAGAATATAAAAAAAACAGGCCAGTCAGCCTGTGCAGATGGCTGCTCACACTGAGCCTGGTTCTGCTGGAGGTTTCTTCCTGTTAAAAGGGAGTTTTTCCTCTCCACTATCGCTACACGCATGCTTAGTGTGAGGGATTGCATTCAAGTCAATGAGTCAATGCAATCAACTGGTTTTTCTTAGATAGAAAACTTTGAATCAATTTGACTGTATGATCTGGCGAATTATAAAGTGCCCTGAGATGACATGTGTTGTGAATTGCAGCTATATAAATAAACTGATTTGAACTGAATTGAATTATTGTCTACTGTTCAACATGGTAGTTTCTGCAGCCCTTCTGAACCCAAACATGGGCCTAACTCTACATGCCCAAATCAGGTTTCTTCCAAACTTACAAGAATGCAGAGGTTTCTAAACTGTTTAGCTTCCGACCAAAATGTATTATTATTACAAAAAGCATCAGCAACAAAATTAGCTGTTTTTTTTTTCTTTCTATTTTTAAGTGCTGCTTCTAAAGCGTTAAGCAATTTAGTTAAAATATGTGTTGTTCAGTTTAATTTCTAAAGTGGATCTTAGGACCCATACTGATTAATTAAGGATCTGAAGTTGGGTCACAACATCTATTGGCTTTAGGGTCCATCAACTGACAATCATACCTATGAGACCTAATGTTTATTTTAAAGGACACAAAACTCTAGCACACAAAACTCTATTTACTTAAAACCCATAATCATAATTTTTTTATCAATTTATACACAAACAAAGTTTTGCCTCAAAACACCTTCCAAAACTGTGGTCTCCCTTTGTTTTTTTTCTTCTACAGTAGTTGTTGTCTTTGTAGAAATGGTGTAGTCTCATTTTAAACAGTAAAATTCTCTGCTGCTACAAAACAGACCCCTGATCTGTCTTCTCAGACAGAAATCCAAGCTGTTTGTGCAGCCCAGTTCAGATCAATGTGGTTTAATTTCTAGGGACATCGAAGGACCGGATCTCATGCAAAATTGTTTCCACTCTGTTCTGGAGGTTATAAAAAGTGTTTGTCCTGCTCTGCATGTAGCCTACATAAAGACTCCAGACACCATTGCTGAGCAAGCTCTGCATTGGTTGTCCTGCTTTCTGTCATTGTCATTACAAAAAAGTTAAAACAATCCACTGGACTTAGTTTTCCAAGTTTGAAGATGTTACACTTCCCATCCAGAAAGGTTTTTCAATTCAAAACTTGCGTTGAGTTCCAAGCTTTAAAGAGTGGACAAACAAAGCCTTGTTTTTGTTTAGAAAACATACAAATTGAACCAGAAGAACAGGTTTTACCTTAGAAATGTGGGTCAATGAGGTCTTTGTTAGCCTGCAATACCCGATACTGATCTTTCTGTGACTTAACATCAAATTCTTTATGATCTATTAATTTATTCAGCTGCAATGCCCCCAACAGCAGCACATTTTAATGCAAATCAAGGATGTCTACATGAAGGTAGACACGGACACCTTCATCTTAGCTAATGAGATAGAGTTAGCTCATACTGTCTTTGTGCAGTGCAAAGAAAAGTGCAAAAAGTTATGGTATTGCATCTTTTTAAATGAATCCTAAATCTGATTAATCTAAACATCAAAGTGAACTGTTGTCAATAGAAACTAAAGCTATCTAGTTTCTAAAACATCACATTCATGGCCATCGCTTGATCTTATCAGTACCTTCTGAATGACCACTAATTTTTAAATACTGCTTTCAGTTGATTTTAAGTACAGCATGAGGAAGCCCCTTTGTCTCAGTGACTCCTGACGAATATCAGAAACCCCATTAAATAAGATTACAGCTGTATTAGTACAATAGAATGTTAACAACTGGAGAGATCTCAGCATGGCTTTCCATTGTGTTTGTCCTCCTCATTAATGAAAATCCATTTGCTGTAATCTATCATTCATTATAATAGCCTGCTTTACCGACTCTGACCTGCTCGCAGGAATATGACCCCCTCCCTGTCTCACATTAAGCAGCTCCAACCTTTCAAGTGTTTTAAATTCAATTTAGTTTTTCATCTTGAAAAGTATCAAATAAAACTGCATTAAAGTTGGGCTTCTTTCTTACAGCTTTTAGTCTAGCCTTGGTGTGAGTAATTGCTAATGAGGAAGAACAGATCGTTAAGAAGGATGTTCTGTTTGCTTACTTTGTCTCCTTCAGAGTTATTGTGCTCATTAGGGAATACTCTAACGAACATTTAGATAATATCTTAGAGAGATAGGTGTTTTGTTTTTTGTTTGTTTTTAAGGTTTTTGGCTTCTTTTGCATCATATTTTTTTCTAAAAGATCACAAAGCAAAGAACTTGGACTCAAGTTCATGAAAATAGTCATTTTAGGTCCTTTCCTGCCCCAATGTCCAGCTTACCTTCTCCTCTAGGAACCATAAAACAACGATCCTAAGGCAGTTTTAACAATCACAACAACAAAAAACATGTGACCTAAAACTATAAAGTAAGCAGATCAGATTGAAGTGCATTTCAGTCTTACATAAACAAAGGCAAGTTGAATAAACTATAATTAAAATCAATCTTTTCTCCTTTTTTCTGTTTTTCGTCTTCTGTTTTACTTACATTGCAGTGTCCATATGATCTATAAAAGTCCCTGCATAATTATAATAAAGCAATTTATATGCATGAAACAAGTGGAGCAGTATGGCAATAGCCCTACTGCTCCACTTGTGAAAGTAAAATCTGTTGGGCTCTTTTTGGCATCAAGACAATTATTGTTATTGGCACATTGCCAGACAGGATACTGTTAAAAAAAATAAATTAAAATCAATAAATGACATACCAATTCAAGACGGTTCATGCCCAGACTAGAAATGAACAGCTCCATGTTTGCAGCCTTTATGGTTAAATAAGTGAAACCAGATCTTTAGGTGAGCTTCTGCTTCCCTTTTCAATTTTTTTATTTATTTTTAAATATAAAAAAAATTTATCAGTATCCATAGGTATATTTGTAATAGATTGAGGGAAGAATGTCATCTGGTTCAGAAAAATAGCCACCCTCTGTTAGGTTTAAACACACAAACGCTAAATAATATGGGGAAGAAGGACAACAGACATTAGATTCTTTTTACTCGCGAGGAGAACGTGTTCAGTTACAGTAGTAGCCATTCAAAATTTCCCCACTTTCCTTGATGGGCCCTTGGCTGGTCCCCTACAATTCCTTTTTAAACATCAATCTATGTACTAAAATATGCTTTCTGTCATGTGGATATTAAGATCTAGACAGAAGCGTTATCTCATGGTCAGACCCTGTAATTCATTGAAAGGGTGGAGTCAGAGTAAGAAAATATGCACACCCAGGAGCAGGCCAGGGGCTGGAAGTTGGAGGGGATTTTGCTGGGATTTGCAGGGAAGTGGGCTGCCATCCGGCTGGCGTTTCACTGGGAAGAAGGGCCCTTTTCAATGACTGCTACTGTACAATGTCCTACTGCTCTGAAGCATGCTCCCCTATCTCTCTCTTTTTATTTCGTATTGGGAGGACCCTATACTTACATGACCATTGCTGCTCTAAAAGACGAGGGAAGTAGCAGCAACGTTATCTACATAATACAAGCATAAGCAGTTTCAAAAGGTTCACCCTGGGGTCAAAAGCATGTCACTATCTTCTGGTTCCAGGAAAAACTCCTTCTGCCTCAAAAGCAGACTTGTGGTGGGTGTTGCTTCACACTTATATTTATTAAAACACTGCCCACTTGTTTGGGGTGAGTCAACAGGTGCAGTTTCGCTAACCGCCTCTGCAAAGACACTCAGCACAGACTATAAAGGCCACTCTAGGGTCATTGTATACAAATAGATATTTCAGTTAAAAAAAAAAAGTAAAAAAAAAAAAAAAGGTATTAGAAAGGAGTAAATATGAGATAAATTTATATACATTTGTGTATATATGCACCAATCAATTCCTCAGAAAGTTAAGCAACATTAAAGTTTTCACTTTAACCCACAACAGAAAATATATAACAGACTCTATAAAAGTGTGAAATCATTATAGGAATGAATGTTTGCATTGAGATAAAATCATTAATCATCTTATTTAACAAACTGTTTTAATAACTGTTTTCTGGATTTAAGCATTAGAATCTCTGTGGATTCAAAGCTAAAGCTCTTTATGCAAAGGATAAGTCATTTTTTAAATGCAAGAATCTGTCCGCTGCTCTTGCATGGTGTAGCTAAATAGAGGGGACTGTTATCGCTCACCAATCAGTCTAGATCACCATTACCCTACCTGATTTAAGGAATTCCTGTCCTTTAAAGATATGTGACTGAACCATGACACCAATAGAAAAGATCAAACATATTCACTAATATCATGATAAAACACTGTCATTATAGTTCGGTCGATACAGGTGCAGGAGAGGTTTGTAAAACAGAACAGAAACTGATGAGCCTTTTCACACACAGCTGCACAGTAGACATCAAAGTTCAATTTGTCATCAATGCCAGTCTCCAGGTATTTACAAGAATGGACAAATTCAGTGGTCTGACCTTTCATTAAAACAGCATTTTGCTTGTGTGGGTTCTTCCAAAAATCAATGACACAGACCTTTCGTATTTCCTGTGTTAAACCCGGAGGTAAATCGCCTCGCACCGTTGAATAAAGTCATTAATAATTGGACCATTGTTGCTTTCGTTGTCCTGAGGCAGACTGACAGCAAAACAATCATCTGCACACTTTATAATAAATCTGTCATCATGTCTGCTTTGACACATGTTTGCATAAAAGAATAAAAAAATAACACAACTTTTCATGAATCCAACCCACCATATTTGTTGTCTAAATTTAAACTTTTATATAAGCCTTTCGATTAAAAGTTGAGGTTGAATTGCATTAAAAGACCAGGAAATTCTTCACATAAAGTTCTGGCATATGTGTCCCACTAAGATCCAAATGTCATAAATCTAAGACTGAGAGTTGATTTAAAAAGTTGTTCTTCTAAGAACCTGGTTTGTTATCTGTGTATTTGGGTAATGTCTTTCTGTGTGTTGCCATCATCGCCTTGCATTAAGATACTGATGCTAGGCACCATACAGCTGAAAGAGCACAACTTTTAGATCATCCAGAACGTAAGGGTTAGATGTTCACCCACAGAAACCAACTTCGAAAACCACCAGTGCAGAGCTTGTTGAGGGTTTGAAGTCACTTTATTGTCCTTTTCTTCGTCTTGATATGATTTGGACACAATGTTATCAGCCTCTATTGCTAAATATCTTAGCAGTGATACAGATAATCCAATTTTCTCTCTAAATAGTGACATCTACAATCTTCTCTGTATGAGGATTCAGACGGATTAGCAACACATATGATTATTAATATGAATAACTATTGTTACAGTGTGACCTGTCAAGGGGTGGCTAGACTATAACTTAAAATGATCCATTCTTTTAACACCTCAGGCAGCGACATTACAATTAGTGCAGTTTAGTGAGTTTACTGACGATAAGGACATTTTGAAGTTTTACACTAAAGAGGACTTCAGGTTGAACCACAGGCCAAAATTAAAAGGAAGCTGCCCGAAGCTTGAAAAGAACTAACCTGCTTTATAATAGATAAATATTATATATATAATATAATAGTAAAGAAAACAAAAGAAAAGGAACTTAATTTCTGGGCTAAAATAAACAGGAGAAAATAAAAGGCAGTTCATCCAGAAAAAAGTCCTCAAAGTATTGATATCTGCAGCCTGCAGTGGCGTCATCTTACATGTCGTCTTCACTTGGGCTGTCAATCCGTATCCATCCTTCTTTTGGATCCACCAATCACAAAGAGGTATCTGCATGCTCAGATATACATAGTCAGAAACTGAAGGACAGAACACTTTTCTTCGCAGTCATAACACTTCGAAAAAAGAAATTTAATCAAGCATCCAGACCTGCCGTGTGTTAAAGAAACCTTAAATTGAATTGAAGTTCATCAGGATCTCAGGATATTTACATTAATGAAGGAAAGTCAGGTAGCATAATCAAAATAAAGCTGAGAAGGGTGGAAATATTAACCAATATTCCACCATTTGCAAGGCTCCTACACTAATCCAAGAGAGCCAACACTTTTGGAAAGCTCCCCTTCGACTTGGAGACCCAGGCACGGAGCAATGGCCCTCGTCTTAATCCTATTTCATTTTTGGAAACAGGCCTGTGAACCACTGCAGATTTTCATCAACATTTGTGTCCTCATTTTTCTCCAGCATGTCATCCATCCTGCCTGGCCTGCTCAGGCCCCTCCCAAGCCGACTGCACCTCCTGTCCCCCAGGGGCCTCCCTGCAGAGCGGCTACTGCACGACAGGCTGCCAGGAGGGCCGTTTCCTCAGCGCCTTCAGTGGAGAGTGTCTCAGTAAGTCTGCTTTCATTGCTGTGGTTTCATGAAATATGCTGCCAGGAGAGCTTGTTTGTGCAACAGTTCTGGACTCTATTGGGAAATTAATCCGACTCTAGCAGGAATTGTGCCTTTCTCTGCCCACTGGGCTTTGCATGATGACACTCTCAGACACGCAACTCTGCTGCAGGTTTTCAGAAACCTGCATTATTTCATGTAAACATTCTTCCTCATTATATTTTGTTTTTTCAATCCAGCCTTAAATTGCTTTGTATATTTTCATCTTTAAAGATCACATTTCTGGTAAGAACTGCAAAGTTGTATGTTATCCCTTTAAGCACTTTCTCTCCTTTGATAGATGGGTCTGACTTTTATATGAAGGGCAGGTTTTATTTTAAATCTCTTGCCAAAGTGTTTCGTTATTGAGCTTGTGATTATATTTCAGAAACATTTACATCTTAAATTAAAAGAATCCCCCTCAGCATAAAGGATCTCATTTGCATCAAATCATAGAGTGAGGATTAAATTCCTTACAATCAACTAAAAAAAACAAGGTAAATAACTAAAAGCATCTTAATCAAACCGGCAGCTTAGAAACCTGAATGTTGCATCGAAATATTTATGTTTAAATATCAGTCCTGTTCTGGTATCCAGAGGGATCCGGTTCATCCAACAAAACATGTTACAGTGTGGATCCCACTAACAGGTACTCAGTTATCTAATTAATAAATAAAAAAAACCATCAGTATGTTATAACGTCAGAAATCATCATAGAGATCTGTGACTTTTAGTTTTTCATTTATTGCAGATTTTAATGAACAGTTTAATTATGTGTTTTTTTACTCTGGTGACAAGTTGGAATCACATCCATGTTGGGCATCGGCATGGAAGAAGAGAAAGAGCCCCACAGTCTGTCGCTGCACCCGGCAGTTCATCAGTTTAGAGGCGTAATGTCACCTGATATAACAATCTTTTTAAAGATTGTTGTGATTTTTAACAGAGCATCAGATCTTTTTAATAAAATAATTACCATAACCAGGGCAGATCTGAGCTTCCACCATGTTGAAAGCTTCCCTATTTCACCCTCCTGTCTCAATCCGTCAGCAATCAGACTCCAGTTCAGCCCTTCTTTTTTCACCAGACAAATATTTTTTTTTCTTACTCTTGTGTGGAGACTGCGATGGGGTTTGAGGTGAACTTATGGCTGATCTTTGTGATCCATCATCCAAAAGTATCAACAATGTTTTCTCACTGCAGCATGGGGCTCAACCACACAAGGTAATTGGGCCCAAATCACTCTCTAAAGAACTGACTAATGGAGCATACTGAGTTACCAGAATAAAAGTCATTTTAAATCTTTATTACCATTTTACAATAAGTTAAAACTCTGATTGAAGTGATGACCTGAAGAAAGTGTATCAGCTGTAGCCAACAAGCAGTGTACATGTTTAAGCTGTTGCTGAATTAAAAGCTTTCACTCTATTTTAAAGAAACATGTAAGATAAAGGGTCGATCCAGAACTAACGAATAAATGCAATTTATACAGCATGTAGCAAGGCTAGATTCCACCCTGGTAAACGTAGAGGTTGGCAGTTAGATCTGGGTTAGTGTGAGCTGCAAACGTGCCCTGATCAGCCCTGTAATACCTACTGCCCTGAGACAGAGTGTCACCCCACGGATATAATATTCTTACTGTGTGTTCTTTTAAAAACTCTGCCAGTAGCAGCATGTGCTTAAAAAAATGGTATCTGATTTCGGGGCATCGTCCTTTATTCATTGAACTTTAGCTGAACCCGTTTCTGTTGCACTTAGTTGTATTAAGTTTTTATTGATAAACCATGTCCTGTTCAACTCTGAAACCCCTTTGTAAGGATTCCGCCTGCTGCTCTAAATGCAGCGAGACAGATTCTGGATGAATTTGCTACACTTGAAGTGCACTTGATTTATTTCCTACTTTATTTATTTTTGTTCCATTAGAAAAACCTAAAATAGAGCGAAAATTTGCTGTCATTGGCAACAAGCTTTGGGTTTCAATGAAGCTTAAATTAGAAATAATTTAAATCCTGACATTTATTTTCTATTTCATGACTCTAAAAGCATTTGGCTGCAACTATAAGGGGGGGTGAACATGAATGCATGCCTCTGTTTCCATAATTTTCCAGTTCAATATGTCCTTCCTTCTGCAGTTTGCCTCAAGTCATGTTACCCTTCAGCTACACTGGAAGTGGAAGCAGCGTGTATAACCTGCAGTCTGGCTGATCGCAGCAATTCTAGTTAATCAGAGTATTTCCACTGAAAGGGCAGCAGCCTGTTTCAGAAGCGTCCCAGAAGCGTTGGCCGCTGGTGGCTTCAAATCCAACTCAATCTGGAGCAGCATGGATTGTTTAGACAGGAAGGCAGCTGATGAAAGGCAAAGCGGATCTGGCTACATGTTAAGACTTTAAACACATTTCCTGGAGTTATATGTGATAACTAATATGTTTATACTGTTAATCACCAACCCTAATGAATATAACCATTAAATCAAAGGAGAAAAATCTGAATATTTAAACTAATTTAGACACAGTTGAAAATTTATGGTGGTAAACAAAGAGCTAGCACTTGAGAACTGGTTAAATGGGATAGTTCAGGTTTTTTGACATGAATTTGTGTGAAATGTTCACCATCTGTAGCTGAGATGTAACAGTGTCCCCACCATCACTGAGCCTTCTGCTCTGAGAAACAGCCTCTAACTTATCAGAGAAAAAGTAGTTCCGGTACTTTTCAGTAGCACACATGATTAAAGTTTTTTCAGATAGAATAAACTGTCCAAAATTTTTATTAGTCTATTTCAAAAAAATTTCAATATCCCATCGCTATATAAGACATTGATCTCAATTAGGACTGCGTAGGTAAGGAGGACAGTCCTGCGAACCGACATAAAAAATAACACGCCAAGTCGTTGAATGTTTATAAAAGTGAACTAGAACATTATTACTGATGAAAATATATACTAGCCCTATATAGTATTACGAAAACCTAATCAGGCTTGTGACATACCCACTTATCTCAGCTGTCATAAACAAGTAGACAAAAAAAATTTAAACAAAAGGGAAGATAGATTAAATAATGTTGACAAAGGTTGAAATGGGGAATGCTGCTAAAATGTTTGTTGGTGGATTTTTAAAAATCCCTATAAGGACAGTTTCATGGTCCTACCTCCAAGGGAGACACCGGTCAGCTGCAGCCTGTCACTCCAGCTCAGGCTCAGTCTCCCCGGCAGACTCCTCCGGTCTAACGCTGTCCTCCTCTGCTATCATCCTGAGCTAGCACCGGCAAAATACCGCCTCTCGTTTGCTCTGCTGCGACCCAGAGTGTCAGTCTGTGGGAATGGGGCACAAACTCAGAACATCAGGATTCCAAGCTCTATTCCCTAACCACTAGGCCCCCACTCCTCCTGCAGGGCAGAGTGATATTGCCCGAAAAGTGTCCTAATTGATATCTATGTCTGACATAGTGCTGGGATGTATCAAATTGCTTAAATAGTCTAGAAAAACAAATGCATAATCTGGAAATGGAACTGCGTTTTTTGCGGTACCTTACCGGCCGTTTTTTTGTAGCAGGAAGTTCGAGGACGGTAGAGGCACTGTTACATCTCAGCTGTCAATGTTTCACACAACTTCATGTTCAAAACCTTGAACCTTCCTTTGAAGGAAAAGCACTTTACAGCTTTATTGTTACAATAAATCTGACTTGATCTCAGTCCAGCCGTGCTTCGTTTTGGAAATGCTCCCGGTGAAATAGTGTTTCTGGGAGAAACTCTGCTGCACCTTTAGCCCCTTGGATCCTAGGAGCATACCATGCACTCACTATGGCCACAGTGAAAAACTATGGTGGCAGCATCATGCAGTGGGAATGTTTTTTTTTTCTTTAGCAAGGATAGATAACTAATCAAAGTTAATAGAAAGGAAGATAGAGCTAAAAATGACTGTTTTAAAGAAGTTTCAGAGGCTGTGGAGGACTTAAAACTAATCAGAAGGCAATATTTACTCTCCGGTTGCACAACAGCCCCCGTCATACAAACAGAGCCATTGTCATTATACTTTAGAAAGACACAGGACTCCTATCTGGTTGCTTTAGTCATGAACATGTTTGTGTTGATCTATCATGGGATGGGCATCTCCAGTCTTCTGGTATGTCCCTGCTCCAGCTCACCTGAAACAAATAATTGGATAATTATAGAGACTCTGGAAAGCTGCATGCTAAGGATTGGACTCAGCTTTTGGATTCATGTGTATACTTATGCCTGATCTAACACATGAATCCCTGTAAATTATCTTAAAGTCTATGCCTAGAACTTCATGCAATATAAAAAAAATATATATGTATTACTCTATTAAAAAGTTCTGTAATGTCAACTAGACTAGTGGCAAAATGGACCCAGTATTCTGCATTGTGTAGGTGTTTCCCTGCTGCCACACACCTGACTAAAATAAGTGGACGATTAATAGGCCTCTGCTGCACTTACTGTAGTGGCCAATGAGGCAATGCATTCATTGTAATTAGGTGTGCTGAAGAGAAGGGCATCTAAAACGTGAAGGGCCCTGAGAGGCAGAGTTTAGAATCACACATTTCTGTTTACAGAAATGGGTTATTGTTTTCTGCTGCTCCTTAAGACACATCATCCCTCCGTATCAACAACATGCTGATCCAGCTTTATTAAACCTTGCCTCCAGAGATCATAATGTGAAAGAAGCGTGCAGCTTACAGTTACCTCGCAGCTTGAAAACCAACTACAAGGCCTATTTATTTATGTATGTACTGTCAACATTAGAAAGTTTTATTTCAGCAAACTATGCTGAAATGTGCCCTTTAAATATGGGCCTTTATAGAGCTCATAGCTGCAGGAGTAAATGACTTCTTCAACCATCTGGTTCCACAGTGAGGCAGAACTCTCACCTCAAGGGAAGGTTTGGGTCAGCAAACTTGATTTTTTTTCATACCTGACCTTATTAAATTCATTGAGATTTTCTGAGAAA